CTTTAACGAACTTTATGTGATGAATTCCTCTTACAAGTTCTTTAGATGAAATTTGAGAGATTAGTTTCATCCTAGCATGACCTAATCTCCTATGCCAAAGCGAAGCATCGTCATTCAAAACCGAAAAGCATATTTCATTACAAAGATCATCAATGTCGATAGTATATGCATTATTTTGTTTTAGGGTAATCATAGATATGTTTTTGTGTGGTTTTTCAATAATGCAAGCATTGGATTCAAATCTAATGATGTATCATTTATCACACAATTGACTAATGCTCAAAAGGTTATGCTTTAAGTCATCAACCAATAACATATCTTAAATAAAAAAGTTAGATTTGTTGACTATGGTTCTTTTACCAATGATTTTACCCTTATTGTTGTCTCTGAATATGACATATCCTTCGTCTAGGCTAGTGAGTTTAGAGAATTGAGATGAATCTCTGGTCATATGCCTTGAGCATCCACTATCAAGGTAACCATCTCTTGCTCCTAGCTTGTGATGGTAAATATTTCTAAAAAAATGATGATTTTTAGGTACCCATTTGACTTTAGGTGCCTCAAAAATCGATCTATGCAACTTATCATGTTGTATCGAGTCATTTAAGGTTTTTTTTAGAACCCAAATTAATTTATGTGGACTATATCTCTTAAATGGATATTTGTACGCAACATGTCCAAATTTGTAACAAAAGTTACATTTGTTTTGGGGTGAAACATACAAGGTAGATCCTTTAACAAAAGTGGTTAGATTTTGGTGAGAGCTACTTACAAATCTGATTCCACTTCTTTTATGAACGTGATCCTTATTAGTAAGGATCATGTTTAAGGATTTGCTACTAACCTCAAATTTTTCTAAGATTTCTTTGAGTAGCAAGTTTTCCTTTCTAAGCGTTTCTAATTGATCGTATTTTGTACAAAGAGCTAAACTACCATCACGCTCAATTTTTAGTCTATCAAAACCACTAATAAGAGAGGCATGCTCCTTTTTTAACAATTTATATTTTTTGCTAACTAATTTATATTTATCGAATAAATCATGAAAAGTATTTAGTAATTCATCAAAAGATAAACTTGCATCTAATGAACTGCTTATCTCATCTCTAATAACCATTAGTGCATAGTGAGAAACCTGCTTGGTGTTGGTTTGCTCCTCTTCTTCGGATGCACTTGAGTCGTCCCACGTCGCTTTAAGAGTCTTCTTTTTCTTTGGTTGTTTCTTCTTTGCTTGGGGATATTCACTTTTGAAATGTCTCAGCTTCTTGTATTCGTAGCATATAACTTGTTCTTTCTTGGGTTCAAATTTATTTTTAGTATAATTTCTAAATTTATTCATTTTTATAAATTTTTTAAATTTTCTTGTTAATAGTACCATGTCATCATCAAGGTCCTCATCACTTGAATTTTCTTTCAAATGGTCTTCTTGAGTTCTTTATGTCATATCCTTTCTGTTCTTTATAAGGTTGTTCTCAAGCTCTTCATGAGCATTATAAGTCATCTTATAGGTTGTTAGTGACCCAATTAGTTCTTCAAGAGGAAAGTTATTTAAATCCTTGACCTCTTGAATGATCGTTACTTTTGGATCCTAACTCTTTGGAAGGGATCTTAAGATTTTATTAACAAATTCAAAATCCGAGAAACTTTTACCAAGTCCTTTTAGACCATTGATGACATTTGTAAATCGGGTGTACATGTCTCCAATGGTCTCACTCGGTTTCATCCGAAACAACTGATAAGTATGCACTAAAAGATTAATTTTCGACTCCTTCACTCTACTAGTGCTTTCATTAGTCACTTTGAGTGTCAAAAGTCGTTTCACAAATGGACACTCGATTGAACTCATTTATATCCAAAGCACAAAACAAGACATTCATAGCCTTGACATTTAAATTGAAGTTTTCTTCTCCAACTCATTCCAATCATTCATTGGAAGAGAAGACTTTTGAAAGTCATTTTCTACAATGTTCCATAATTCAAAATCCATTAAAATTAGGAAGATCCTCATTCTAGTCTTCTAATATGTGTAATATATCCCATTGAACATGGGCAGACATGTAATTGAATGACTCTCTTGGTTGCCGGCAAATGCCATCTCTCTTAGGTTTTAAACCAAATGAGAGTGACCTTGCTCTGATATCAATTGTTAGGATCAAGAGCGGCACTAAGAAGGGGGGTGAATTAGTGCAACGGAAAACTTTCCCATTTCAAAAGTCTTTGTTTCGATAAACCCGATTCTGACGAAAATCATTTCATAAAGATTTTAACTTGAAAGCATATGGGAGCGTAGAGAAAGCAGTAAGAAGGTAAAGTAGCTTGCAAGAAAGGTAAATTGTTTAAAACGAAATGCAAACCATAATTTAGAGTGGTTCGGTCGTTGTGACCTACATCAACTTTTGGATTCCTCCTCCATCGAGGTTACTGATGTCCACTAATGGCCTTCCTTCAATAGGCGAAGACCAATCACCTTTTACAATGCTTTTTCCTTTTTACGGGTTTAGGAGATAACCCTTACAAGTCTCACACCTCTCTTGAATGATCTCAATATTTAGAAAGGGGGGAGGAGGACTCTAGTACTTTTTATAATACTTTAACACTAAAAAATTCAAGATTATGTCAATGCTTTCATGCACTTTCATGCAGAAAAGGATGAGGTATTTATAGGCCTCAATTAGCTTCAGAATTGAAGCTAAAAAGTGTCATATCCCCGAATTTCGGGGTATTGGCGGTACCACCACCTGACACTTGACACTAGGTGGTACGATCGCTTGACAGAGCTCGAAGACCGAGCTTTGATGGTACCACCACCTAACAGGAGCGATACCATCGCTTGACAAGGGCGGTACCATCGCTTGACAAGGGTAGTACCACCATTGGCAGCATTAACTGTCAGGGTACCATCGCCTAGTTTGGGTAGTACCACCATCCAAACCACTTGGGAGACTAGGTCTCCTAGGCGGTACCACTACCAGTTATGATTTTATGTGCTGAATGGGTTGTTCAATCCGACTCGATTCAGTCCTATTAAGGGCCCAGTTGGCTCTAATTAAGTTAGTGGGATTACCTCTCAATTCTAACTTAATTTTTTTTCTAACTATAATAACTAAGATATAATTAAAGCATTCTTATTCCAGTACGTCAATTGCTCTTCCGGCGAACTTCCGACGAACTCCAAGTAATGTTCCGGCAGACTCCCGGCAAGCTCCTAGACTTTACGATGATCTTCTTGGCGAGTTCTGATGAGCTTCTTTGGCAAGCTTTTGGACTTTTCCGTTGGTTCCGACAGAACTTCTGATGAGTGTCCGGACTTCCAACGAACTCTTGAACTCTTGAACTCCCAACGAGATCTCGATCTTGACTCCGGCACAACACCCGCTTTATGTCTTACTACTATCGTAGTTAATCCTGCACACTTTTCTCAACATATAGATTAGATCAAATAATTTACAATTGATTTCATTATCAAAATCCGAGATTCAACAAAAAGAAACTTATACATCCACATTTATAGAGTTCCACCTCTTAGTAGGACTTGGGCTCCTAATCGAAATAACAAATCTCAATTAGACTCTTAGCCAAATAGAAGGCCTAACTGATTCCTATTGGAACTATAAAATTCAAGAGAATATATTCTTTATATTAGTTTAGGACCTAGAGAATTCAGGAAATTCTAACAATTTGCTAAAAAATTATAAGATGCGAGTGTTTACCATTAAATTTCTTATGTCGATGATATTATATACATGGCATGATACATACTCACCTAAATAAGACTATAAAGGTTTATACTTACTAAGTAATTATTTATCATTAATTTTATTTTATAAGTAAAGATACTAATACTCTCCCTGGGTCGGGAAGTAAGCACGTGCGACCCCATACTAGTATAGATATAGACAATAACCTAAGGGCGTTTATATATGTATAACTTTTATCATATTTTGTTCATATATTTTTATTTTAGTTATAGATTATATATTATAATTATGTACATGTGTTAAAATCAGGATAAATCTTATTGTTTTATTTAGGAAATTAATATATTTTACTTTAAGATCATCTATATTTCTATTCATAATAGTAAAAAAATTAAAAAAAAATAATATTCTACTATATATAGTATTTCATGTAGACAATGAAATATTGTACATTGTATATATAGTATATACCGGTTTAATTTTATATCGTAAGCATTTGAAAATAATGATCTAATAATGAATATTTCAAAAAATGATAGTGGGAAATTGGTATAGATGGGTTAAGCCAAAAAAAAAAAAACACATCTGCTTCTGAGATCAATTGGATGAGTCATTTTGATTTATTGTTGGGCTAAATCGGTAAAAGATGGATAAATTTACCGAAAAGTTAAAAAATATTTCTAAGACGATGGCGACTTTGCGGCTGCGGCGATGTATGCCGCTGTTGGGCCTCTCGCGTCTCGCGTCGCGTGTTAAGCCCCGGAGGACAAAGACGAAATTGTGCACCTCTAGTCAAGGAGGAGGCAGACGAAAACCCACCGACTTTGGAGGGAAAGAATATAATAGGGGGAGACGGGAAACCACGTGGTATGGAGACGGCGGTGCGGGTCCCACCTTCACGATTAGATGCGCACTCAGGTTACCTGAACCCTATCGCGGAGCTCTTGCACGCCGACTCTTCTAAGCGTATAGGGGGACGGCTTGCCACGCGATGTTTTTTCTCTGACGACGCCCAGTCTAATCCTCGCATCTTGATGCGCGCCCTTTCATCCTGTCGTGTCCTCTAGTCATCCGACGTGAACCAGCGGGCCCCCAAACAGCAAAAAGGATGGCGAGAGGCTTTCCCCTCGTGACTTTGCTCGCCGTGGCGAAGGCCGACTCGTTCCTTGCTGACTAAGCAAGACACGACTTCCTTTTCGTTTCGCAACTCGATGCTACGTCCTTCAATCGAGTTACGACTCCTGGAGCGATCTTACAACGCGCCTCGACATCGTCGTACCAAGTCGTGTGCTGTGTTCGTTACAACTGTTCTGGATGCGTCTCCCACTCCATCACGTCAATCCCAATACGTCCTCACGATTAAATTTAACAGACGATAACAAAAGGAACACAAAAGCTCCCGTTCTTCCTCGTCTCGCCAGCCCTCCTCTTCGCCGCTCCCTCCAAATGGCGGAGCTCAGAGAACGGCTCCTCCCACGAAAGCCCTCCGTCGCCGCTGTCCCGCTCCCCTCGACAGCCGCCCGCGAGTCCCCCCCCTGCTGCCGCCCCCTCTTCCAAGGTGTCGACTTTTCCGAGCTCAAGAAGCGGGGGCAGAGCCTCCGCTCGTGGATCCGCGTCGACGCAGCCACGGGCGGATCGCAGGTGATCGAGGTCGATAAGTTCACCATGATGCGGCGCTGCGACCTCCCCGCCCGTGACCTTCGCCTCCTCGACCCCGTATTCATCTACCCCTCCACCATCCTCGGCCGGGAGCGGGCGATCGTCGTCAACCTCGAGAAGATCCGATGCATCATCACCGCCGACGAGGTGCTCCTCTTCAACTCCTTCGACGGCTACGTCCTGCAGTACGTTGTTGAGTTGCAGCGCCGCCTCGCTGCCGGCACGAGAGACGCCCTCGACGGCGGCACGCCATCGCCTGATTACCTGCCGTTCGAGTTTCGAGCCCTCGAGGTCGCGCTCGAGGCCGCCTGCACCTTCCTGGACGCTCAGGTATGGTCTTCTCTGTCCTGCTCTGTTTTGGATTCAGTACTAGGGCTTCTATGAATTGTGTGGTGTTTGATCTCCATAATCTATTGCTTTCAATCTTGTATTTTCATTGCTTCAACATCTATGACTTTGAGACGATATGGAGCTGCCCAAAATTGCTAACCGTGGTTAAGAATAGGTTTTTGAGATCGCTCTACAGTTGATAGACAGGTAGCTTCTGATGTTACTGGATGCAGAATTGATGTCGTATGGGAACGAATTTGTCGGTCTTTGCTAGGGCATTAAATTGGTTTTGATGAGGATTTCTTCATAACCATTCACTTGTAGATCTGGTAGATGATGCATCAAGTAAAGAGTGACATTTATACGATACCAAAAATAATTGCTCATGAGAATATTAAAATGGCACTAAAATGTTGTTATATAAAGTTTCTTCATCTACCATTCACTTGTAGAAGGAAAGTAATTCCAGGGTGTGGTAAATGATAGCATGAAGTAGAGAATGGGTTCAATGCATAACCTAAAAGAAATAGTTATATTGATTCAGTCTGGAGGAGTGTGTTAGATTCTTTGTTCTCACAGCAAGTAATGGAATTGTATGTGCTAGAAAGGAGGAATCTGGTGTTGCACACCTTATTTGATCAATTGACTGATGGACCATCACAGGCTTATACCTACTAACAAATGCTAGATCTCTTGCTTTAGCTAGTGAACTGTGCTATCTTTCTCAAGTTTGGTTCAACCACAGAAGTTCAGCATTTGAAACTCGGCAGTGGGTGGTTCCAAAGTTTTTGGGTAAATTCTCCTAGGTAGGAGCTTCCTTCCATTTCTTTCATAGAAAAAGTAATATCATTGATAAAATAAGTCCAAACAAACTATATCTTGTCTTCTTTATCCATTAATTAGAACAAAACTATGTTTTGAGTTGAATGACACTGTCAAAACTATGTTTTATGACAACATTTTAAACAACAAAGTTCTATTATGGAAATGATGAACTCAAAGGTTAAGTGACACCCACTAGTTGCATATCCTTGCTCATCCAACCTGTGTGCTTGTTACTATCTTTATCTTCTCTAAGAAGCACAAGGATTGGGAAATTCTGATCAACTAATTAGGATCTTGCTCCTATCAAATCGACACCATTAAACGATACCCTTGGCTTGCATCAATGATTGATGTTACAAAATTGTAATTCTGAAGGCCCTGTGTTTGATTTCAAAAACTAATGTGAAGGGTCCGTTGTTGACATATATCACTAAAACACAAAAGTTCCTTCTGATCCCTGTAACAGTTAGGACGTTCCAACTTACAAACTCCCACCATATCTTGTTGCTCTCCATTTTATTGTTACTAAATCAAGTAGATAATAAATAAGAATAAGAAAAAAGGATAAAAGTGGGGATTCCTTGCAGACTTTTTCCCCATATATGGAAACAGAGGACAACTTTATGAATGCTAGGAGGTTTTTCTCTATATTCTGTTATATCATTTTTCTACATGATTATTGTTCTTTCAAGTGAAAAGTTCTGCTCATGTTGATCATGCTTTCCTAAAAAATGATGACTGTTTAACCTGGTCCTACTATATATGTAGATGAATGAAAACCAATTCTTTTGTTAGAACCGCTTGTTTCTATAGCCTCTATTAGTTATATGACCACATAAATCCATTTGAGGCAATATCTAGCTCATCACTGTACCTGAGTAACTTCACTTTGAAATAGCATCCTTCTAAAACAGAATATACTGATATCCATGACCAATTCTATCTACAGATTCACCCATATTGGAAAATGATGATACATTCAGTTCAAGCATGCTTGTAATTTCATTACCAATTTACTCTAGAGATGGTTTCATTATTCAACTGAACATCAATCACAGATAAAGTACTTATTATTGAAGTTTAGTGCATCTAAACTAGTTGGTATTTGTGCTTTTGATATTCCTCCAGATTATATGAACTAAAATTGTGCATTAACCAGGTACTGTTTTGATGACCTACTTTTCTATTATTATCTTACTGTATGAAAATCTCTTCATCCTAGTCTGGCCACTTACATGATCTGAATTGGTTCTAATTTTCCTTCTCTTTCTTTTGTCCTGCATTTGGTTTTTCTGTTATTGTACATATTTAGTTATCTTTTCCTGTATTTTTTTGGAACTTTACTAATGTCATTAATTGTGGTACTTACATTAAGCAATGAAATTGCATACAAATGAATCATCTACACATTTTTTAGGCTTCGGATCTAGAAATAGAGGCATACCCCTTGTTAGATGAATTAACCTCAAAGATCAGTACTCTTAACTTGGAACGGGTGCGTCGCCTAAAAAGCAGGCTTGTCGCTTTGACTCGGAGAGTTCAAAAGGTATTCCAACAAATTATCAATGTAGTTGTCTTTTCCAGCCCTGCTGCTTATTGACCAACTTGTTGTAGGTTAGAGATGAAATTGAGCAATTGATGGATGATGATGGTGACATGGCCGAAATGTATCTCACAGAGAAGAAAATGCATATGGATTCATCACTTGATGGTGATCAATCTCTACATGGGTCCAGTTCTGCTGGGGATGGAGTATCAGTTTCTTCTCCAGTTTCACCTGTTTCACCACCAGAATCTAGGAAGCTCGAGAAGACCTTAAGCCTTTCGAGGAGCAGATATGAGAGTACAAAATGTTCTGACAGCACTACCGAGAACATAGAGGAGTTGGAAATGTTGTTAGAGGCTTACTTTGTGGTCATTGATAGCACCCTGAATAAGCTGACTTCAGTAAGCACTGTAATTTTTCTATATTTATCATCTCATCATGAGTTTGAGAATCTGAAGAGTTTTGTTTCTTGCACAGCTGAAGGAGTATATTGATGACACAGAGGATTTCATCAACATCCAGCTGGTAATTTCTCCTTTTACCTAATGTTTGTGATCAGAGATAGTAGTTGCTTTTCTCTGTTTGTAAGAAACATTGATAGGTCAATTAATTGTGTTATACCGCTATTTCATAAATTACTGGTATGAGTTTGTTAGTGTTAATGGAACATTAATGCTGATCCAATTTCTCCTTTTACCTAATGTTTGTGATCAGAGATAGTAGTTGCTTTTCTCTGTTTGTAAGAAACATTGATAGGTCAATTAATTGTGTTATACTGCTATTTCATAAATTACTGGTATGAGTTTGTTAGTGTTAATGGAACATTACTGCTGATCCATCACCAACAAAAATATAGAAATGGAAAAGAAGAAAAAGAAATCTTTTTGCAAGCTAATGCCATTATTTTCTATGCTACAGCTTAAAGCGACCTTAATAAAAATTACGTCTATATAGTTGGACTTATACTTTAAGATCCTGCCTTGGAGAAAACTCATCAGTGATATAAATCTAACAATTCTTTTGCCACAAGACTTGCTTATGCAGTAGCAGGAATGATTTAATGCCACACGTATCAGGAATGATTTAATGCAACGCGTATTTTTAATAGCATTGTGCCTTTGCCATTTCATGAAAAATATTAATCTAATCTCTTGTAGATAAACCATTGATAATATGAATCTAATAATCTCTTTGCTGTCAGACCTGCTTTACAGTAATGGAAACGACAATAAATGCATGTATCTCAAAAAATACTGCGCTTTCGGTATTTCATGGAAGAATATCTGTTAATCTAGTAAAGGATGCACGTACAGAGTTTATTTTGGTAGGTAGAACTTTGACTTGCCTGACAAGGATGGAAGCTATGATGACTGTAAGTGCAGCAAAATCTTGATTTTGACTGATGTCAACATCATCAGTATGGGTTTAGGTCCTTCCTATAGAAAGCTAGGTATCCTTATGAATTATGAATTACACTGAGAGCTAACTTCACAAAGTTAATAGCCAAAGGAACATCTAATGCATCAGTGACCAAGTTTATTGTTTGACAACTTCTTTCCCTAATCTGAGAACAAACCAATAGATTTTTCCTGTTTAACCTGCAGCCTAGAATTACATCTTTTTCTCAAGTAGCTTGCATTGATCTGGTTGGCACTTTGGTGGTAATAGGTATTCCTTTCTCCTTCAGTAGGGATTAGTCTGAATAATGTATTTTGGAACATCACACATAAAATTGACTTTTAGCTAGTCATAAGACAACATAAGAAAGATGGTTGTCTAAATTGATTTGCCACAGGAGGACTTACCAGAGGAAGATATAGTTTGTGGATGCTTAAACATTTATCCTGAGTTGTAAGTAGGCAATATTCAGCACTGGATTTGCCTCGAGGAAGGTATTTTCCCAAGTTTTCTTGAAGCCTTTATCATGATACATAAGTGAATTGACATCTAGAGATCCTGCAGTATCCAGCACTTTGGTGAGAACAAAGTTTATTGTCCTTCGTACTGGATACTGCTTGCAATTTCCTAGAGCAGTTATGCTTTTTTGGCACTAATTTTGTAATCTTCCAATGCTAAAATATCCTAATACTGATAGTTAGCTTAGTATATGTTCTTCAGTCATAACATGCTTTGACTTTGTAAATTTGTATGGTAAACTCCATGGAAGTGGTGATGATCCAAACCATCAGGTATAGACAAGTTGTGGAATTGTATCTTCCATGGTGTGAAGTCTTATTAACTGTTCTCAAGTATTTTGGCCTCATAAATTTTAATTGACAAAATAAATAGTTTATCAACTAAGCACTGTTGAAAGCCAGCACACTACTTAGACGGTATCAACTGAAGCATCAGGGATGACAAGATAATAAATAGTTTACATGGGAAGCATCCGTCAGTTTTGTTGCTTAAATGCCCTAGTTACCTTGAATTATTGATTTGGTAAAATTTCTCGGATTTTATTCTTTTGCAGCTGACTTTGATCTCTTTTTCCTTCAGGATAATGTCCGGAATCAATTGATCCAGTTTGAGTTGCTACTAACGACAGCGACGTTTGTTGTTACCATATTCGGGGTTGTTGCAGGAATATTTGGCATGAACTTTGAGATAGCCTTATTTAAAGCCCCATCTGCATTCCAGTGGGTGCTAATGATCACTGGAGTAAGCGGTGTAACCATTTTCTCTTTGTTCCTGTATTATTTCAAGTATAGAAGATTAATGCCCTTATAAGTAGTCAATTGTGGTCGGAGAGTGAAATCTCATCTCAAGCATTATGCTGTGCATTATTACGGTAAAAATTAAGTAATAGGCCATTATTTTATTATCTTTTCCCATTATGTATGAAATTCAGTATTTTTGCGAGAATCAAAGAAATATTTGGAATAATATTAGATCGTAGTGATAGGAAAAATTTATTCGATAGAATTATCTTTTGTCATGACAGTGTTTTTGGCATGGTTTTCAAAATGGGCATGGATGGTTGTGCTTCTTAGTTGGCTTTCGGCAACTATTTACACATATGATTATGACGGGTTGTAGGTTGATATACAATTAACATTCTGTTTTGCTATCATATATATGTTTTTTTATTTGTTCTCATTTTGATGATTTTTGTGATCTACATGGTGGGTCAAATCTTGTCAGTGGTTGTTGGTGCAGTTCCTCACGGATGTTACCCGATTTGCTATGGGTGAATCATTGATCCTATTAATTGTCAGTCTTGAACTTTTAACTCAATAATCAAGATGCGAAGATGGTCACAGTGGAAGCTTTACCGACTGTAGAAAAGAAACTGAAATTCGGTTGATGACTTGGCGATTCTTTTTCCGATCGTTTTCCTATAGTCTCCTGTGCACTTACTGGCGTCATGCTGAAGCCCTAAGATCTAATGTACCACGAGGAGCATGCAAATTGATGAAAACAGATACGAAGAAGAAAATGAAGAGGGGAAACCGTTTTTTGTTTTTTAAGAGAGGCCCCTTTTCATATTACCTAAAGAATATCCTATTTGTCATAATCCTTAAATGATCTCTGACAAAGATAAGTAAATCAATAGTTAAAGTTCTCCTCCTCTCTTTCTAAGTTTTAAGATTATTCAAGAAATGTGTGAGACTTATAAGGATTCTCTCCTAAACCCATGAAAAGAAGAAAGCGCTATAAGAGGTGGTTGGTCTTCGCCTATTGAAGGAAGGCCTTTAGTGGACGCTGGTGACCTCGACGGAGTGTCACGAATGGTCGTCGCACACCCGCAACAACTCCGTTCAACGAACCGTTCGTCACTCTCATCTACATGTATAGCTACTTGGCAGCCTGTTTTGCCTTAGTTTTGAGTCATTTTGCTTGTAAAAATGTAAGTTCGAACAAGTTGTAACGCTACAAAGCAACCGCTCACCGAACCGAGCAAAACAGCTCCAAAACAGCCCAAAATAGCTCCATTTTCGTGTGCCATTGGTTGTTTACTGCAGCCCACCTCCGCTCACCAAAACGTCAGCCATCTCAGCCCCTTTGAACCCCCCGGGTGGCACAGGGCTGGATGGGGCTTCGGTATAGTATCGGGCATTGAACAACCTTTCGCAAGTTCGCACGTTGCCTTGACAGGAACTTGTTGTCGCGCCCGGCACCCGGTGAGCAGCTGTTTGTAGACTCACAGTTATTCGTTCAACCCTCTAAAGTCCTTGTTTTCCCCCTCTCCCTCTTTTCTCTTGTGCACGTAAGGTGCTCGCTGAATTGCTTATAAAGCTTCCCCTTTTCGCGAGACGTCGGGACTTGTCCGTCGCTCGTTCTTTCGAACTAATCAACTTTCTCTTTTTACAGGTCCTTCGGGACCTGCGAGAGGTTGCAAGTGGGCTGATCTTTGCGGAGCAATATCGCAAGGACAAAGCGCGACTTAGGCAATGCAAGCTAAGTTCGCGTCTTTGTCGCAAGGGTGCCTCGCGACTTAGGCAACGCAAGCTAAGTTTGCATCTTGGCCGCAAGGGTGCATCACGCCTTAGGTAATTCCAACTAAGGCCGTGACATTGTGGTATCAGAGCGGGTAAGCACTTCGAGCGAGCAGCGAAGGAACTTCGCAACTTCGCCATGACAAAGCATTGTGGTGAATCAAGCAAGATGGGGCAAGCCGGATCCTTGCCCCAAGCAGCCATAGGTGGGCTGCATGTGCACACTTGCTCTTAGGCTATTGGAGCCGCTCAAGAGGAGCGCGACAGCGAACATGATGAGCGAGAAGTTGGCTACTCTCCACGAGTGGAGGAGGCGCAATCTGGAGTACCAACTGGGAAAAAGAGTCACAAGGAGAGACTCACAACGACGGAAACCCGCCTGGATGTTCTTGAAGCGAGCGTGGAGGAACTCTACCGTGG